TTAACAAACCTCAAAAGAATAACTAAAACAAGTAACTTGTAATTAAATTTCATGATCTACGTACGAGATTTATAAAAAATAAGAATGAAAGTATTACTAGTACAACTAGTACAACTCCGACTAAAATAACTAGTACAACTAGAACAAGTATAACTTGTAATTAAATTGAGTTTAACCAATATGACTAATAAAATATAACTCGAAGAACTAGTACAACTTGCAACTAATATGATGATATTTGGTTTTTGTTTTTAGCATATGAATGATACTAGAAAAATATGATATTGAAGCAATGAGATGCATTAGTCTAATCTTTCCCGGTTGCGTGCAATAAAATCCATGTATAACTATAACAATTATAACATGTATAATTACTACAGCCTAACAATTATATGATGATATTTAATTTTTGTTTTACCATTTGTACTAATTCTACCAGTTATACTATTTACGAAAAAATCATTTTCATGTTTTTGTTCCCGAAGTCGAAGAAGTAAACTACCGAGCCAGAAAATGTTACAGTATAAGATCTGGAAGAATATACTCCAACAGATAATGCATAAGCCATCACGAGTTCGAAAATGATGCATAAGAATTAATATTTGGTATTTTGACTACAACAATAATAGTTTAACTGGTTCAATTGGTTTAACTACAGTAATATTTTACTAGTTTAATTGTGGCAACATTTGATTTTTGTGTTTTTCAGAATTAGTGAAAAGTGATGATGATATATATAATTTTATTTATCAGAAAATATTTGCATAAAAAGAAGGACTCTGCAGTGAAGAAGAATAAAAAGATAGACGCGAAGAAGAAAAAAGATGCGACGAAGAAGAATGAAATCATGGCGATGAAGAGGAAGCTCGGTGGTGGTGTCACGGTGGGTCCTTGTCAAATCCAACCAAGCGGACTCGAAACCACGGGAGAAAAACCACATCTTCTCTGGACTCTCAAGGCGGTCTTTACTTGGAACCATCTACGCTTTCTCCATCTCAGCCCACTAGTAAACTCCATAAATCATCAAGTCAGTCAAAAAATTACAAGTATTTTGGTATAACTAATATAACAGATTCAACTACACAATAATATATAAGAATAGTACAACTAATACAACTACGCAACATTAGTATTCAACCATGATATACATTTAAAACGTGATTTGCAGATAAAACAATAGTAAATAAAATAACAAATAGTTGTACTAGTTTTATAGTTGTACCGTCTGTACATAGTTATACTATTTTTTGAGTTATACCCGTTTGTGCATAGTTGTACTTTAGCAATAAATCGAGAAATATTAGTTGTACCACGTAATATATACAATTAGGTCAGTTGTACCACTTATTTATATTTAAATGCATTTGCCTGGTTACAATGCAATCATCAATTTTGTAAAAATATATTTCATGTATGTTTTCCAAAAATTGTGTGGATAAACAAGTTAACAAACATGAAATGTAAAAGGTAAATCATGCAAACTTATGGGATAGTGCAAAAGTTCCAAAAAAAACAAAAAAAAAATCATGAGAATAATAAGAAACCTATCTAAACAATTAACAGTTTGACCATTTGTATAAGGTAAATCATTGATTTGTTACTCATTTAAAATGTATATTAAGCTTCTCATTTCATATTTTAACAAAATTTGCATCCAAAATTTGAAAATAACAACCAAAATAATGATTTTTATTTTCAATAATTTATTTTCAAACTTACTAATCGTCTCACTTATTAAACATTTAAAAAACAATTAAGTTAATAGTTAAATTTTACATACATGAAACTTAAGTAATGAAGAATATGAAATTTTTCTTTCAAAATATAAATATCCGAATTTAATCCGAAATAACCGAACCCGAACTAAAATATCTGAACCCAACCCAATATGTAAAAATACCCGAACGGGTCCTAAACACCAATACCAGAAAAGCCGAAAATCCAAAATACCCGATCCAAACCCGAACGGGTACCCGAATCCACATCATAACATTGTAAAATTATGTTCAATATTTTATTTTCATGATTATGTGACTAATCTAGTTAACAAACATTAAAATATAAGGTATATAATATTAAACTAATAATGCATGTAATAATTTAACAAATATTAAAAATTCTCAAATAAAATGGACGAAATTGTGTCACCATTAACCAATTAAGAGTTTGTTTATTTATTTTAAAATGTGATACTAGTTTTAAAAATATTGAATAAAATAACAAATAGTTGTACTAGTTGTCTAGTTGTACCGGTCATATAGTTGTACTAGTTTTTGAGTTATACAAGTTGTGCATAGTTGTACTTAGACAGTAAAATAAAAATATATTAGTTGTACCATATAATAAATATAGTTATCGCAGTTGTACCACTTATTTATGTTTACATATCTTTGCCTAGTTAAAATAGAATCATTACTTTTGTAAATATACATTTTATATATGTTTTTAAAAATTTATGTGGACAAACAAGTTAATAAACTTTAAAAGTATAAGGTAGATCATGTAAACTTATGTGATAAAGTAAAAATTTCTAAAGAGAATAAAAAAAAATCCTTAAAAATAAGAAGGGACATTCTAAACACTTGCCAATTTGGAAAATTAATTGTTTTTTTTTTTCATATGAAATACTTCATGAGATATAAATTTCAGAAATTAAATAGTTGCACTAGTTATACTAGTATCACTTGATGGTATCACACAAAATGAAATTATCACTTTTATTAATATATCTCTGATGTAAGTTATTTCAAAATAATGTGACCCACCAAATACACAAATCTTTAAAGTATAAGATATCAGTTTTTTTTTTATGAAATACACAATTGATTTTGTTAATTCTTGAAATGATCATAAAATTGTAACAAGTTTTATCGATAGTATCAATTTGATATATAATGAAAAGTTATATTATTATACGAGTAATATCACTTGTTTATAGAAATTTATCTCAATTTAAAAAACTTTAGTATTTCCTTTTAAGCCATTATAGAATGAATTTAGATGTTTATATATTTATGCAGATACATATATACTATGGAGGGTTGGGGTGAAAATCTAAAAGTTTGAAATTAATACAAGAGGATGTGCTTGTACATTTAAGAGTTTAAGGGCCAAATTAAGAACAACCTAACGCTAAAGGACTAATGGTACAAAATATGAGGGACACATTTGCTATATATTGAGGAGTTTGGTCGGAGATGAGTCAATCGGGAATAGGAAGCTGCCGTGACTGGAGGAGCTAAGAATGGAGATGGATCACGAGCTCGGAGGTTCTGCGGCTGTCACAATTGGATCACGAGTTCGGCCGTAATTTGGAAAAGACAAATGTTCTGAAACTAGCTCGTGGTGTCTCAATACGACGAGCATCATCGACTATAGACGCCGTGGAATAGATTTCATGTCGGAGCCGCCGCGTGTTTCCGTAGAAGTCGAGATCGGAGTCGTTGCGTGTGTTTCCGTCAAAGACTGAAGAAGAAGACAACCACCACAATTTTTGTTTCCTTTTAATTTTATTTTGATTAATTAGATTCATTGAAGTTAGAAATGTAAATTGACAGAGAGAAGTCCATACAGATTAACTTTGGCAGTCACAGATTTTTTTAAAGTCTTTTGTCCCATTTTAGATTAATGTCCCA